GAAGATGCAGCAGAGCGTGGCACTGAGCACGGCAGAAGCAGAGTATATGGCTCTTTCTTTATGTGTGCAGGAGGTTCTGTGGACAAGAAGTCTACTCAAGGAGATGCAAGTGCAGATTAACTATGCTGTCAAGATTCACGAAGACAACCAGAGTGCAATCGCTATCGCTAAGAACGACGGCTATCAAAGTCGAGCGAAACATATCGACATCAGATACCATTTTGTGCGCGAACAGGTGAAAGACAAGATTATCGACCTGCAGTATACTGAAACCAAGTCACAGCTGGCAGATTTTCTGACCAAACCGATTTCGACAAAGAAGTTCGAGTCGCTGCTGGACAAGGCCAGGATCAGAGACTTCTAGTCGAGGGGGAGTATTGGTAATGGTGTTGGTTACTGATACTAATGACCATATGTCATGGACGACACTGTGTGATAGTGTGTAACGATGGGATCGACTCATCGTTTTGTTACTAATATTATAGAGTCGATATCGATAGGCTTAGAGTAGTACAACGAGACGAACTAAGGACCTAGCTAGATGATAATTCACTTTCCATTTTACCTTCTTCTAAGCTCTCCCACCTCAACTCGCTCTTGGCTGTTGCCAAAAGTCAAAAATGGGCGAATTCGCCATCAGTGGCATGTTGGAGCCTCTAAGCAGAGACCAGCAAAATGCTGCTATCGACAAGTTCCTTAAAGGGGAACTTGGCTTCGAAAGGCAGAAGATAGCCTTGCTACAACAGCAAGGCTATCATCAGTCGATGGGCGGACCGACGCACAGGCGTCGACCCGAAACCTTAAAGATTGATAACTCAAGGGACAAGGAATCCGATGAAGGTTCCCTTTTGAGATGGTTCGTCGAGATAGACGACGCCATCAGAGCCCGTCACATCAAGGGCGACGAGATGCAAGTCATCCTCGCCCTGTCAAATTTGACAGGACGAGCAAAGACTTGGGCCTAAGGGCTCCAGCTTCACGACTCAAATGTGTTTGAGTCGTTGGAGATCTTGAAGTCTCGGCTCAAAGAAACGTTTGAGCCACCACGAGACGAGTTCAGAGCATGCTTTGCACTCCTCAAGCTCAAACAAGGTAAGCTTGATGTGCATGCTTACGCACAGCACCTACGCTACCTTGCGAATAGTATCACGGAAATCCTCGCTGATGAGCACGCACTCATCAACGTGTTTATCGACGGCCTTGTAGATAGACCAGTGTAGACCTACATGTTCCTAGAGGACTTTCATACGCTGGAAAAGGCGATATCGTATGCGAAACAAGAAGACTTCAGCCTGATACAGTTTGAGGCTAACTCGCCAAACTATCGTCCGAAGAGACGGCAGGAAACCGGAGGTCCCGAACCAATGGATCTCTGTTACATCGAGAGAGAGAACTCTCGCTCTCTGATTCACAAGCGAACGGCAAAATACCATCGCTGTCAGAAGATTGGACACTACCCTCACGAGTGTAGTGTCCCAAGCACCGCAACACGATTAAAGATAGGACGTGATGACCACCGTTGGCCAAGGAAAGGTCCAAGGCGCGGATCCGACCATGTCGCTAAGTCGCGACAGCAAGTCGGACCGTCAAAGAACGGTCAGGGTCAGTAGGGGCGGAGCACCCTGCTGATTCAGCAACGTCAAGTGAATTTTGCAGGACTCTTAACGATTATTGCTCCCAACACACAGTCGCTGTGTGTTACTACCCCTAGGGATGAGGTGCCCCATATCACTTTGAAGATCGAAGTGACAAGTGGAAGGTCACTTCGCGCCCTAGTTGATTGTGGGGCGTCGAACAATTTGTCGACGCTAGTCGCTAGAGGATAGTAGGCTTAAATATGTTGAGAGAGAGTTCCCTTCAACGAGGATGACGGTATGCCTTGCTACAGGCGCATCCGTAACAGTGAACAAACGTGTAGTGGGAATCCAATACACGCTAGTAGAAAAGCAATACGATGATGACCTTATCGTACTAGATTTGGACGACCAAATTGATGTCATCCTCGGTCTGCAATGGCTTATTGTTTTGCAAGCCATTGATCAGCTGGCAGCATTGATCCGTGAAGATGCCTTCCGTTTGTTCATCGGATGGCCATCTGATGAACGTCTTGGTGCGTCTACAAGCGTGTGGATGTACTACGAGTGAGTGCGATGGCCTCAATTGAGGTACGGTCGTTAGTACGACTGCACAAGATCACAGTGTAGAAGGACACTGCACTGTCGAACTAGCTTCCGGCACCTGTGTAGAGACACAGGGTGCGCCAAAGGTTCACCACTCGAAGCGATCGAGTGAATTGAAACACGGGCAAACACGAAGAAGGGTGCATCCAAGAAGTGAGATGATTGTTGTTCAGGATGAACAACACGATAAAGCGAGATCGACTAACGGAGAGTCGATCGTAGAGCAAGCCTCATCGACTGAAAGAGAGTCGATCGAAGAGGACGTGACTGTGGTAGTACACCCACAGCCAAGGGACGTATTATAAGAAAGTTCCAGCGTTCTTGAGAGTGATAACTCTCAAGAAAGATATATTGAGTGTGTGTTTCCCACCACCACCACCTGCGGATGCGTTTTCCCAGGAAATCACCGAGACAGTGAATGTCTTGGTGAATGACGGATCAATTGTAGACGGTCAAACACTTGATGTGGTTACACCTCCGAAGTCAGCTTCGGAGGTAATCAATTTGCCAACGCTAGAATCTAAAAGATTCTTGTGAGATATGCGTAGTGACAAGATCAAGCAGATCTGCGTACTCGTCACATAGGACGAGTACGTCGCCGATATTTGGCCCGCACAAGTGTTTACGGAGATTGAACGGGTTTTTAGTATCTCATCGATGGACGAGAGTGTCCTAGATGAAAAGACACGAATTGGGCGATATGACTCCCAATCATGGGAATCTCTAAAGAAAAATCCTCTCTATGAAGATTTGGTTGAATTCAAGGATGTATTCCCTGAAACTGTTCCGTGCGAATTACCGAAGGATAAAGGTATTCGACACGAAGTCGAGCTTAAACCAGGCTCGAAGTACTGTGTCATGAAGCAGTGGCCACTGCCTCGTGAACAAGTACTTGCGATCGACAAGTTCTTTGCCGATCGTTTAGCTGCGGACCATGTGAGGGAATCAACTTCCCCACATAGCTCTCCGACCTTCTGTGTGCAAAAAGTCACAGGAAGGTGGCGGATAGTGCACGCGTTCAACAAATTGAACGCTGCAACGGTACCGTCTCAGACGCCGATACCGAGGAAGGACGTAATCATTGATGGTATGGCAAAGAGTACCATCTTTTAATCCATGGCTTTGATGGATGGCTTCTATCAAATCCTTATGCGAGAACGGGATATACCCTATACCACAGTTAGCACGCCTAGCGGCATGCTCTGGAAATGGCTAGTGATGCCACAGGGGCTAAGTAACGCCTCTGCAACATTCAACAGATGATTTACGAATCTATTGCGATCGGTGCGCGATTTCTCCATGAGTTACTTCGACGATGTCTTCGTCCATGGCCCGGCAATGGACGGAAAGACGGACGTGGAGGTTCATTGAATCCACGTCCGACAGGTTCTTACACTAATGCGAAAGCATCAATTGTATGCAAACCTCAAGAAGTGTATATTTGCAGCAAGCGGAATATCACTTCTTGGCTGCATCATGGGTAAAAACGGTGCTCGCCCTGATCCGGAAAAGATCAAGGCACTTAGCGACTAGCCTGTGCCAGTCGACGTCAAGAGACTTCGTAAGTTCCTTGGCTCGGCGGCGTACTTGCACAAGCACTCGCGCAACTACGCCGAGATGACCGTACATCTCTCTCGTCTGCTAAAGAGAAACAAGCGGTGGTCATGGAGTGCTGAGTGTCAGCACTCTTTTGAAGGTATCAAGAAAAGCTTGATTCAATCGCCTGGGTTGGCAATTGCAGACCAGGACCGATCATTCCATGTGGTCTGTGACACCAGCGATTTTGCAATGGGCTGCGCGTTAATGCAGTACGGCTTAGACGGCGTTGAGGGCCTCGTCTGTTATCAATAGCGTCAGCTACAATAAGCTGAGCATAATTACCCGGTGCATGAAAAGGAATGCCTTGCCTTGAATTATGCACTAGCTAAGTTTCGGGTATGACTCTCTTAGGAGATAGGCCCTTCATCGTTTATACCGACCGTACGTCATTACGCACGGCCGTAACAGTCCACACCTCTCGACGAATGGCAAGGTGACTGTCTTTATTCGTGGAGTACAACTTCTGCGTCGAATATAAACCAGAACGACTTAATGTCGTCGCTGATGCTCTTTCGCGTCGGTCCGCACAGCCCTGGACTGTGATTGACTCCGGTACAGCAACAAGATGTACCATCTTGCTGAACCAATCAACAAACACAAGAATACCAGTATTCTTGTGAGCGTCATTATAAAACCCATATACGAAGTCCTTTGATAAGGACTGCCAACACTCTAATGGAATAGTAAAGGCTGCAAGGGTACGCGGGATGATAGACTAGGCTTCATCCATTACCAAAATTCGCAAGCGCGAATATATTTGCGCACTCGTACTGGCGTGATCAATAGAAGTCATGGCTTTCCATGAGGTAAGTATTTCTCTACCGCGATGCCCACTTGTTGGGGCATCGTGACTCTCATACATGATGCGCAGTCGCAAATCATCATAAGCGGGAACGAGGACACGAGGCGTGCCGCCGTTGACTGCTTTATAGTACAGCAGTTCATCACGAACAGAATACCAGTTGGTTGAAGAGTGGTATCGAGACGAAATGCTTTTCAAAGCTTGACTGTATAGATTGGGTAAGTAATCCATCAATCGCAGAAGAGACTGATCTTCTGCGTATGCTTGTCGCACGTCGTCGAGCAGAGCAAAAGGAAATTTACTCTCTCTTTCCCCCTTTTAAGTTTTCACACTTAATAAGAGAGGAAGAGTCATTGACTCTGTGTCCGGTATTGGAACATACCGAGTGGGCATGGCAGATGCCAAATTGTAGTGGACCGTCAGTTCAACGTGGACTCAAAGTACGAGAAGACCTCGAGACGTGCCCGAAGTGCGTCTGGGCCTTGCAACATTCTAAGAGCCACTTTTTCGTTCCCGATCAACGCCTTGAGCTTCTTAAGCGTGATCTTCTGGTCCTCAGAGAGGATCATGGCCGTCTCCATCCTCGCAGAGGATCCAGTCTGTGAAAAATCAGGTAAAGATTGACTACAAGTGCTACCAAGTGTAGCAGATCTACTTAGCACCTCTTATCAGAGGAAGTCTTAGACTCAAAGAGTTGCTTAGTCATCACAACTTACACCGACGTACAGACGTTCAAGCGCACAAGCTTAACAATTCCGGTTCTAAAGGGATTACATTTACAGAATCACACCCTAACTAGTCACTGCTAGTGAATCAAGAGTAAACCCATCACAAGACTAACACTCTAACGACACCCTATGCCTTGACTAAACACTAGCGTCTGACGATTCAAAAAAGAGCTGAACTTTATTGCTTAACTACGACAATAAAACCCTTTAACCTTGTCTGACTGACTTCTACATTGCAATCCTATGACAAAAGTAAAAAGTCTTGTTCCTTATCCTTACCCGATAAGGTGCGGTATGATCGTAAGAACGTGGTGCCAAGACCGTGCCACTCAGATCTACCAATCTTTACTTGGTGTGGACACACAAACATAATCGGTTCAAATAACACACAAACGTCACCGGTTCAAACAACCGCGTATAACCCCGTTACAACAGAGGCAGCGAGACACCACTCTCGCTGCTGTCGGTGGTAGTAGCTCCATGCTGGTTGTCCAGTGTGCTGCTTCGGTGCCCTGTTACACCTGCTATATCCTTTTTATGAACGAAGTTGTAATTTTTTCTGTCCTTCCGAAGACCTGTACTGTAACGGGGCACCCTGAAGCTTGTACTGGTAACAGTACAAGCTACTTATTCTGATGACAGAATAAGGCGGTGCCTTGGAACTTCACGTACACTGGTACGTGCAGAGGAATACGGTAGAAGAAGCGAGTACTTGGTTAAAGTAAAAAGTAGAACTGTATTTTGTATAGTTAATGTCTGTAATAAACCCCCTGTTTATCCTCATCTAACTATGTCTAAATACAAATGTGTATATCAACTCTCTGCTCACCACTCATTGCGTGCGTCTGTCGTGGCGCGTCTTCGTTGGTTGATAAAATGGCCTGTATCAACCAATTAGAAACTACTCGTAAGTGCTACAGAATATTTGTCCTTATGACAATATTATGAGAATATAACTCTTATAGTTATATTCTATTAACAATTTCATATAAATTGTTATGTAACGATTCACCCCGTTACATCACCCCCCCTTAACCATCAGTCACTTTAGTGACTGATTGACTAAAAGGGTACTCGTCCCAAATCACTTGGGACAGGGTTTGCACTTGTTGGTCCGAGTCCACGGCCTTGATCGCGTCCGCACGTCTCTGTGCGGACGCCGAATCAGAAACCACAGCAACTGATGTCTCATCGGTTGCTGAAGCGACTCAGCCTGTGTCACTTGGTGATGCAGGCGCTGGTCATGAAGACACTCATGTCTTCACAGAGTATGAGCATGGAGTCTCATACTCTCCTGATACGGAAGACGGATCCGTATCGACGGCGATCGAAGCCTAGCCGCCTGCCAAGCGTGGCATGGATGATGCTATGCGTCGTAGCATCTTTGGTTCATCTGACGAATCAGATGAACCATCGCCGAAGCGAAGGCGCTCGAGGTCGCGAGACTCGGGCGCTAACAGTGGTGTCGGTTCTCTTATGGACACCACTTCGCAACGAGGTGCCAGTCCTTCTGTCGGCACGTCGCACGAAGAGCGGAACCGCAATGTGTTGCGTCTCGCTCCCAAGAAGAAGGCATTGATGCCTCCCAAATCCGTCATGGATCGCTTGTCGGCGACGACGAGTGATCGTTATCGAACACGATTGTTCGATTCGTCAAGGATCCATCACCTTGACCCCAGCGCGAAAAACTATCGCGCTGAGAATGAATTCTCCATCGATGCTTTCTTTAGACATCGATGTTTCAGTGGGAATCACAAGCGTGATGGTCCCTCACTACTTCAAGCGTGGAACGCCTACATCCATAGCCTTGAGGATGTAGGTCGTGACGTTTGGAACGACAAACTTATCAAAGCTCGTGATAAGTTTGAAAAGAGAACCCCGACCGGTGCACGCTACAAGCTGCATCGTCTGTCAAGGGAGAAACGATTACCCTGCCTCTCTTGGGGAGACTCGTGCCCAAGTTGTGTGAACAACTCTGCGCGTGCACCTAAGGCTGTCTACCTCCTTACTAGACCGTGGTGGCGCGTACGTATCTCTAGTGAGATGTACGAAGGGATTGACATCCTGAAATCCCTTTACGACCGTGCCGGGAAGACTTTCTCCGGCGGTCCTTCTGCGGCACAGGATGTGCCGCGTCGTACTGCTCAACCAGACCCAGTACGTCAACCATCAATTGGGAGCGGGGCTCCCAAGTATGCCAGGACGGGGGATAGCCGCGCCACCGAACGAGATAATTCGTCCGACGTCCGTTCACGTTGCGGTGGTTCAACAGCTGCTCAACTAGATAGCGCTGGCCACCGCGAGAGTCCTCTAATGGAGGTGGAGGTGGAGGGAAGACGCTCTCCACACAATCGTGGGGATCCGTGTGTTCCCAAGAGCTTCTTTGATCGCGTAACGCAAGGGTTACGCGGCGATCTCGAACATGAGCGGGACAGGCGTCTTCAACTGGCGGACGCTGTCTTGAAGCATCGAGCTGAGTTTGCCTTTGCTCGGCTTGAGAACGAGAGAGCTCTGACATCCTTTCGTGACGAGCTTGGTAGCTCGTGGGACTGTGGATCGGTCTAGAGATGAGATAACTGCTCTTCAGACCCTTGTCGATGGCCACCATCGGGAGCACAAGGCTCTCTGCGAGATGCTTGAGCGCAAGGGCGTTCTTCATCGGAAGAAGCAGCGTACTGATGGTGCGGCTTAATTTGATTAATGTAAAGCGAGGGATGCGTTTGCATCTTACGTGGCAACTCGATCGTGTATGCATTGCCTAGGCGGTGCAATACACGAAATGGGCCGATGTACTTGGGTAGTAGTTCACTGCTACATAATTTAGTCACTACATGCTTTATTAGATTAACCGTAGACAGTAGGACTAAGTCCCCTCTATTAAATAAAAGAGTGTTTGCCCTTCCATTCTTGTCAGCGTTTTGCTTTTGCTTATCCACCGCTTCGGCGATGGAGTCTTGCACAAAACGAACTACCGTTTCATGAGCCAGTATGAACTCATCTGATGACTCGTTAGCTTCAGTGCGCTGTGAGCGCACTGCAGCAACATCAATCTTTTCTCAGTGAGGGCTTCCGCACTCTCACTGGCATCATCTTCTTCGATATCGATGTTATCGATATCGGCATCAAACGCAATGACCTCTTCGTCAGAGCGTGATGAGCGTGAGCCAAATCGGATTTTGCTCGCGCGAGTCCCTCCCCCCTTAAACCAGAGTTACACTCTAGTAAGGTGGGTACACGCGGATGGCGTAAGCCATTCACGTAAAACGGTGTATGTGTCGTGGACGCATGCACCGAGTTGTTAATGGCAAACTCTACCATTGGCAAAAACTCACTCCAACTCTTAAAGGAGTGTACGTATCCTCGAAGTATCTCTTCAAGGACACAATTGGCGCGTTCCGTCTGACCATCTGACTCTGGATGATCAGATGTAGACATCTTCAAGCGCGTTCCGAGTGATTTGAACACGGAACGCCAGAAATCAGCAGTGAATCGAGGATCTCTGTCTGATACGAGTTCAGGGGGCAATCCATGAAGTCGGAAGATAGTGTCAATAAAGACACAAGCACAGCCACTTGACGTGATTGACTCTGGTACAGCCACTAGGTGTACCATTTTGCTGAATCTGTCAACAAATACGGGAATACTCGTATTCTTGCGTGCGTCTTCGGGTAACCCGAAGACGAAATCCATTGAGATGGATTCTCAGCACTCAGCTGAAATTGGAAGAGGCTGTAAAGGTGCACGCAGTGAAGGACTTGACTTCACTCGTTGACAGACTTCGCATGCGCGAACATACTTTCGCACAAACTGATACTGGCGGGGCCAGTAAAAGCCTCGACTCACCGTGAGACATGTTTTCTCTCGGCCACGATGTCCTCCTATAAGAGCATCGTGATACTCGAACATGATCCGCAAACGCAGATCAGTATCATCTGGAATGACAACACGTGGTGTGTCACCAGAAACGGCTGTATAAAACAGTAAACCGTTGCGAGTAGTGTATCGATCTGATGCAGATTGATACTCAGACGACAATCGTTTCAACGATTCTCGAGATGGCTGTGAGAGATGTGTCAACAACTTCACAATCTCACCATCTTGGGCGTATGCCCGCCTCACATCATCATACAACGTTGTAGATGGGACTGAGGACGTCATAACCGCAACAGTGACTGTCTCACTATCGGATGTCGCGACTGTTTCAAAGTCGGGACGACGTGAGAGTGCATCAGCGACGACATTAAGTCGTCCTGGTTTGTACTCGACCGTAAAGTTGTATTCCGCAAAGAATGACAACCACCGCGCCATTCGTTGTGAAAGGTGCGGGCTGTTCACTGCCGTGCGTAATGACGCATGGTCAGTGTAAACAATGAAGGGTCTATCTCCTAATAGATAGACTATGAACTTCGCGGGTGCATACTTCATGGCAAGGAGTTCCTTGTCATGCACTGGATAGTTCCGCTCAGCTGGTTGCAGCTGACGCGACTGATAGCAGACGACGCGTTCAACGCCTTCAAGATCGTACTGCATTAATGCACAGCCGATTGCGAAATCGCTGGCATCACAGACCACATGAAATGGCCTGTCCGGATCGGCAATTGCTAGGACTGGGGATTGTATCGAGCTCTGCTTGATACCATTAATGGGGCGCTGACATTCAGCGTTCCATAACCACCTCTCGTTCTTTTTAACAAACGAGAGAGGTGCACATTCATCTCGGCGTAATTGCGTGAGTACCTATGCAAATACGCCGCTAGCCCAAGGAATTTTCGAAGACCTTTGACATCAACTGGCACAGGCCAGTCGGTGATCGCCTTGATCTTTTCGGGATCAGGACGTACACCGTTCTTACCAACGATGCACCCAAGAAGTGGTATTTCGCTTGCTGCGAATATACACTTCTTGAGGTTAGCATACAATTGATGCTTTCGCATGATTGTAAGAACTTGTCGGACGTGGTACCTGTGAACCTCAACGTCCGACTTTCCATCCATAGCTCGACTATGGATGAATACGTCATCGAAATAACTCGGCGCGAATTCTCGTACTGGTCTCAACAGATGTGTATCACATCTGTTGAACGTGGCAGGGGCATCACTAAGCCCTTGTGGCATCACTAGCCATTCCCAGAGCATGCCGCTAGGCGTGCTAACTGCGGTATAGGGTATATCCCGTTCTCGCATAAGGATTTGACAGAAGCCATCCATCAAAGCCATGGATTAAAAGATAGTACTCTTTGCCATACCATCAATGATTACGTCCTTCCTCGGTATCGGCGTCTGAGACGGTACCGTTGCAGCGTTCAATTTGTTGAACGCGTGCACTATCCTTTACCCTCCTGTGACTTTTTGCACACAGAAGGTCGGAGAGCTATGTGGGGAAGTTGATTCCCTCACATGGCCCGCAGCTAAACGATCGGCAAAGAACTTGTCGATCGCAAGTACTTGTTCACGAGGCAGTGGCCACTGCTTCATGACACAGTACTTCGAGCCTGGTTTAAGCTCGACCTCGTGTCGAATACCTTTATCCTTCGGTAATTCGCACGGAACAGTTTCAGGGAATACATCCTTGAATTCAACCAAATCTTCATAGAGAGAATTTTTCTTGAGCGATTCCCATGATTGGGAGTCATATCGCCCAATTCGTGTCTTTTCATCTAGGACACTCTCGTCCATAGATGAACTACTGAGAACTCTCTCGTTCTCAGTAAAACACTGTTCCTGACCTTATGTCGGTTACACACTCGTCGTCAGCGACGAGTACGCAGATCTGCTTGACTTTGCCACTACGCAGATCACGCAAGAACCTTTTATGTTCGAGCGTTGGCAACTGAGTGATCTCCGAAGTCAACTTCGGAGGCGCAATCAGATCAAGTGTATAAGCGCCTACACTTGATCCGTCATTGACTATGACATTCAATGTCTCTGTCATTTCTTGGGGACTTATTCCCTCAGGCTTCGAAGGACTTATTCCTTCGGCTTCCCGGAGACTTATTCCCGCGGGTTTCGGGGAACTTATTTCCGCCTTATTTGTAATCTTGGGACTTATTCCCTTTACTTCCTCCAGCTGGGGTTGCGCAACCACAGCGAGATCCTCTACGAAAGACTCTCCAGTCGATCTAGGATTATCGTTTCGCTTAACCTGAGCGATCTATTGTTTCTCTTCTAGATGTTCCCCGCTAGGGATACATCTTTGTCCCAGTCCACCCGACTTATTCGAGTGGTGGACCTTCGGCGCAGCCTGTGTTTCCTCACAGCCGCCGGAACTTTGCTCCGAAGTGTAACCGTTTGGTACACTAAGGTTTTGTGCAGTCGTACTAACGACCGTACCACAAGTGAGGCCATCGCACTCACTCGTAGTACATCCACACGCTTGTGGACGCTCCAAAACGTTCATCAGATGGCCATCTGATGAACAAGCGGCAGGCATCTTTACTGTCCGATGTTGCCAGTTTACCCGTGGTTCGTACCTTCTGAGCCACGGTATTCCAAGGATGACATCAAATTTGTCATCCAAATCCAATACGATAAAGTCATCGTCATATTGGGTATCTTCTAGCGTATAGTGGATCTTCACTATACGCTTCATGACGGTTACGGATGCGCCTGTCGCAAGACGTACCGTCATCCTCGTAGGAGGTGTGTCACATTCACTGAATTTAAAGTGACCATCTTCTAGCGATTGGCGTCGCACAAAATTGTTGGACGCCCCACAATCGACTAGAGCTCGAAGAGTACAACTTATTCGTCACTTCGAGTTTCAAGGTAATGAGTGAGACCTCATTACCTAGAGCAGCAACGCACCACGTTTGTGTGTTGGGAGCAACCTTCATCAAGAGGCCTACAAATTTTCTTGACGTTGCTGGACCAGTCTGGTGCTCCGCACCTACTGATCCTGTCCGTTTTTTGACGGTCCATCCCGTTGTTGCGTCTTTGCACCAACTGCGGACCCTCGTCCCTGCCCCTTTCTCATGGGTGGACGGTCACTACGCCCAGTGTCGCGAGACACTGGACGAGGGGAACTACACTCGTAAGCGTAGTGTCCTGTCTTTTGACATCTGTTGCATCTCTGCAACTTCTTGTAGCCTGTAGAGCGAGCCTTCTCGCTCTCTACGTAACAGAGTTCCATCGGCTATGGACCTCCGTTGTCATATCGTCTCGGTTGACGATACGATGTCGAGCTGGCGCGAGCCTGTCTCAGACTGAAGTCTTCCTGTTCCGCAATGGAAATTGCTTGTTCTAGTGAATCTAGTTCAAGCCGGAACAGGTGAGTCTTGACGGGACCATCCGCAAGACCCTGCATGAACACCGAAACCAATGTGTGTTCATCAACCGGGTTGGAACTTATACAACTCGTGAGATGTCGTATATGTTGCACGTAAGCGTGCACATCACGCTTACCTTGTTTGAGCTTCAAGAGTTCGGTTCGAGCCCTGAACTCAGCTCTAGGCGGTTCAATCGTTTGTCTGAGCCGCGACTTGAAGACTTCCAACGACTTAAACGCATATTGGTCGTGCAACTTGAGCCCCAGTGCCCAAGTCTTGGCACGTCCTGCCAGATTTGACTGGGCAAATGCAACTTGCATATCCCCGTCGTCGATGCGACGCGCCCTTATGGCGTCATCCAATTCGACAAACCATCTCAAGACGGAGTTCTCTTCGACTCCCCTATACTTAGAGATGTCAATCTTCAAAGTCTCGGGTCGACGCGAGTGCATCGACCCACCAGCAGCAGACTGCAGCTGTCTCAACAGTTCAAACTGTTGAGCACCCTGTTCTCTCAACAAATCTGCTTGTTGAGAACCTTGTTGGTGAATCAAGGATACTTTCTCGCGTTCTGCGTCAAGTTCATTTTGAATGAACTTGGCGACAGTAGCATGTTGGGCATCTCTATTGAGAGCCTCTAGCATGACGCTAACATCATGGATGCCCATGGTCGAACCCATTCGTTCAACCGCATCCCATTCGATACCGCTCAAATGGGAGTAGTCTTCACGCGTAGCGTGAAAGCTTTGGTCATCTTCATCATCCAACATATTCATGTTGGATGTGAACGCGGTCCTAGGACGGACTACGAAGTGCTACCAGGTGTAACGGGGCACCCTGAAGCTTGTACTGGTAACAGTACAAGCTACTTATTCTGATGACAGAATAAGGCGGTGCCTTGGAACTTCACGTACACTGGTACGTGCAGAGGAATACGGTAGAAGAAGCGAGTACTTGGTTAAAGTAAAAAGTAGAACTGTATTTAGCATAGTTAATGTCTGTAATAAACCCCCTGTTTATCCTCATCTAACTATGTCTAAATACAAATGTGTATATCAACTCTCTGCTCACCACTCATTGCGTGCGTCTGTCGTGGCGCGTCTTCGTTGGTTGATAAAATGGCCTGTATCAACCAATTAGAAACTACTCGTAAGTGCTACAGAATATTTGTCCTTATGACAATATTATGAGAATATAACTCTTATAGTTATATTCTATTAACAATTTCTTATAAATTGTTATGTAACGATTTACCCCGTTACAAGTACAGTGTAACCATGTATTCACAATGACAAGTGGTCAAACTTTCAACCGTGTCACCTTTCAAAAATCGCTTAAAAATTAATTTTTCTCGAAGCGTTGAGCATTTGTTCATGTGTAATACGTTTTTTCGAACGACTTTAAGCTTTATCACGTGCTAGCAATGGTGCGTGTGACTTACACTCCCCACGTGGTCGCAGTTAGTGACCTTCAAAGAATGACAGCTGAAAACACATGTCTACCAATGTGAAGGGGACAAGCTACGTCGCACTTAGTACGGCGTAAAAGGTACATCCAGCGCTATATTTATACAGATACACACACACACACTAAAAGTGGGTCTATAAAATCAGCCTTAATCTTGCACCCAGTTACTAATACATTCAAATTTCGTGATCGCGATAAAAAAATTGAGCCTTAACTTTACGCCCAGTCACTGATAGCTTCACCCCTCGTGATCGCGGTAAATCGATATCCGACCAAATGTGAATACACAGCGAAACACGATAGACTTGAAGAAAAAGGCGACGTGCTGCTAATTGCAAAGGGCTGAACGTGTATTCAAACAAAAGTCTCTCCTGGTGTGGATTTTTCACATTGTTCACTTACACAAGAGGCATCACATCATTGACGACGGGCGAAGCACCAAAGATGGCGTTGGCGGGCGCAGTGTTTGTCGGGACGGGCGCTGCTTCCTTGCTGGGCTCGACGGGCGCTGGTTCACCGCTAGTGTCAATGCTGAACTCTGCACACAACGGGTTTGTGATGTTGTTGTACACGTCACAATTCGTCTCGGGCTTGATGGCCACGACATAGTCGCTATCCTCGAACACGCGCTTCAAACCTTTGCCGATCTGCGGGTCATACACGCTCAAGTCGTCTGTTGTCAGCGTGAATGAGACGTCCATCGACTGACCAGGCTGCAGCTCAATCTTCTTGAATTTCTTCAGCTGCTTTACCTCCGGCACTGAGATCAGGCGGTACGGTTGGATCACAAACAACATCACCGTCTCCTTACCGGCACGGGCACCCACGTTCGTCACCGTCACTGTCGCAGTGACGGTTGCGGACGCACTAGTCAGCCGAGTCGTGTCCAGACTCAAACCGGTGTAGTTGAACTGCGTGTAGCTGAGACCCGTTCCGAAGTCAAATTCCATCTTGCAGTTGTCGTTGGCACAGCGCGTACTGACGAGGTGGTTGTACGGAATGGCAATGTTTGCAGGGTCCTTCGGGTACGTGAGCGGCAGTCGACCGCTCGGGTTCACGTCACCAAAGATAATCTCAGCCATTGCCTTGCCACCGAGCTCACAAGCCAGCATACCGTTAATGATGGCCACCGAGTTATCAGGGATCGAACCAAGTAGACGAGGGCGGCCTTCAAACAACACGACGATCACCTTGGTGCTCGTCTTACTGAGAGCCTCGATGAACCTCACCTGACCGGCAGGTAGTGCCAAGTCATTGATGTCTCCCGGTTTTTCAGTGTAGGATTCCTCACCGATCACAGCAACCGTGTACTCGTGCTCGCTAGCTTGCTTCACAGCCGTTGCCAAGTCCGCGTCCGAAATACTGCCGTTCGCTTGCAAGCCGTTAAAGTAAGTGAACGAGCTGTTACCAACAAGGCCTTCGAAGCCCTGGAGAACGCTCACGCCATTGGGAAACATCGCATTCCCCGAGTACCCTTGCCACGCCTTGCTCCATCCACCGCACTGGTAGCCAACATTGTCAGCAGAATGACCCGTGAGAAAGACGGAAGCTGTCTTCGGCAGTGGCAGGACGTTTTCCGCATTCTTCAGGAGCACAACCGATTCGCGAGCTATTGCCAACGCTGTCTGCACGTCGTCGTCGTTACCCACCATCGAGACGTACTGCTCACCAGGGATCGGGTTCTCGTACAAGCCCAGCTTCAACTTCGTCGTCACAACACGCTTCGCCGATTCTCGCAGACGAGCTTCCTGTTCCGGGTGCTTCTCCAGCATTTTCAGCGTTTGATTGATGAAGTTCGCGTTGTTCGGCACCATGCTCATGTCGATCGATGTCTGCATCATCGCCATAGCTACAGCATCATCGTAGGTCTTGGCAACCCGGTGCCAGTCCTTGAGATTGTTAATCTCGGCATAGTCGGTAACGAGCAGGCCTTTGAACCCGAGGTCCGTTCGAAGCAGATCGTTCAGGATGCGAGAGCTGGCAACGACCGGCTCACCATTAATCGAGGTGAAACTCTCCATCGCCGTCATGACACCGGCGTCTACAGCTGCTTTGAACGACGGCAAGTAGTAGTTGAGCAGTTCGAAGTCGGAGATGTGGGTGTTGTCACGGTCGTGGCCCCTCTCGGTCCTGGAGTATCCGATAAAGTGCTTCATGCAGGCTGCCGTTTGGTTGTAGCTCTGCAGACCGCGAATAATAGCGTCACCCATCACAGACACCACATAGGGGTCCTCACTGAAGGTCTCGAACGTGCGGGACCACAACGGATTGTACGAGATCTCCAGAATTGGTCCGAAGATCCACGGAATACCGGCAGCTTGCGTGTCGCGAGCAGTGATTTGTCCTGCTTTGTACACGAGCTCGGGAGTGAAGCTCGCACCCATGTTGATCTGCTGCGGAAACAAGACGGCTGCTTCGACGTAGTTGGCACCGTGCACTGAGTCGATGCCATAAATCATCGGGTGCCCACCATTCTCCTCCATGGTGATCTCTTGGATACGCTTGATCAAGGCACGGAACTCAGTAGCGTTCCACCCGTATGGGGCGCTTTCTTGGCGTCCAGCATATACCGAGCTGAAGTACGACCCCACGTGCTGTCGAGCGTAGGCGCGGACGCTGGTCTCGTTCAGCGTCTTGGTGGTGGAATTTATGACATTGCTGACTTCGATTTGGGTCATCTGTCCAAGCACTTGCGTAACGGTGAACTTGTCGACAATCGCCTGGGCTCTGGCGTCGAAGGCATCCTGGGCGACTGATGCGCCGGGAAGACTCGCATACGTCACCGCAACAGCTAAGCTGATCGCAGCTGACCAGCTTGTCCACATTGGATTAGAGAGCGGGTAGTTGAGCTTGAGGTGGAGTGCTTGGGAGCTTGATACTGCGTCGGCAGGCAGGAAGTTTGATAATGCACACTCTTGTCAAACCTCCGCTCGGCGAGGACTAGACGTGCCACCACCTATCTTCAGGTACCGATTGTTGTACAATTGTCAAAGCCGAAATTTCGCATCGAAACGGCAGGGTCTATCCACGTGTGCTTTTGAATTGTCACAGGTACGGATGAATCAGAGGAAGAGGTCGCAGAGCAAATCGAGTAAGTGTTGATGCAGTCTAAACCTGGTCTGAACATTCTTTCCACCAGACGGTATTCGGTGAGAGCTGAACCCTTCCGAACAAAGTCTGTCTTGTCCAATTCGAACAACGATAAACGAGACAAACGGAGATGTAAAAAAACGAGCTCTGACTCTCATCTGAAGATTTCGAACAGTGTGTAACGCTGCTGTCGAGGCTACAGGCTCCCCAAACGTCCGTTTCGGTGCATATGGATGATGATTGTGTCACAATTGACACGGTGGAACAAGTGCGGCAAGCCTGCTACTTACAGAGCTTCGTAGCACGTGCGCGGCCACTCCGTTTGAGCTTCATGTTCTGCGTGCGAAGCGTCAAGGTTAAGCTACGGTTTATCAATGACGTGTGGTGGTTTGTCTCGTCTTCAGGGAATGCACGATATTGTAAAGTTGACGGCGCTTGACCTAATCGGGATTTGTACCAGGTGCATGTGCACCACTCTTAACAACAGACCAGAAGTCAGACGTAGCGACCTAGTCAGAAGACGCCATCGTTCGAGGAGGAGGTACAACTGTTGCTTGAAGAGCCAGACGACAGGCCTCCGCAGAATGGCTGCAAACTGGTACTCTTGCAATCTGGATACGTCTTTTGTTCTACAGTTCGGCTTGCAAGACAAAGAACCCTTCGAACGAAGAGGACAGAGGTGGTGGCGGTTCGCACGGCAAGAGAGACGTGATGCGTGTTGTTGTTGTCGCTAGGGCATATGGCGGCACGTCGCCGCATGACAAATAGGCGAAGGTCGTTACGACGTAGCAGACGTGGGGTCTCCATCGAATTTCACATCCAAGATGATGATGAGACCGGCTTTGAAGACCATCTGCTATACTTTTTCTGGCACAGAGTTGGGACAAGTCGGCGGCTCGGCAAGTGTTGTGGTGCAAGTGAGTACAGTTCAAAGCTGTCGCGTATGTACCGCCGTTCCCAATAGGGCTCTGTTCTGCGCAAGGTGGGGCGGGATGGTCCAATGCCGTGTCCCATCCCGCGCAGGACGGGATGGGACGCAGGATAGTGCGAAATGAGATCATTGAACATTTACGGGTGAGGCCTTTCCATACTTTGAATTTTGCTATTCCGTAGTGCAAACGCCGTCAAACGTTTTTACGAACAGCTAATTAGCTTAAGGGAATTGGTAAATTCACATCCCTTTTCCTTAGATTCACGCCCTTCCTTCAAAATCATATATAAAAATTCCTATTCATTTATGGATATGTTTTCTGACAAAGGTATAACTCGATAATCTAGACCATTAATTGGCAAGTAATACGTAAGAAATTCCTAAGATACTACTCACGCCTGTGGTCTAGCTCCTTCAGCGTTTACTTATAGAACACCAGGCCACAACATACTTCCTCCTCCCGAGGTTGAGTATGCCAGTCGGGAGCAACTTGTGAATACTGTGCAGACGTTCGCACGTGGCCAAGGCTATGATGTTACGATTTAAAAGTTCGATTGCAGGAAAGCGTGTCTACCTTAAATGTAATCGAGGTGCCGTAAACGTACCAAAGGTTGGAAAAGAGCGCCAACGCCAGACCAGCTAACGCCGAATGGATTGCCCGTTCTTTTTAGTAAAAGTTTCTCCAAAAAAAGGGGTAATTGGAAGTTAAACGTGATGAATGGATGCCACAATCATGAGCCGTCACTCCATCCGTCTGGTCATTCGATTCATAGAAAGCTAAATAGCGAGCAGGCCGATACTGTCAGAAATATGACGTTGGCTGGTGTTAAACTGTTAGGGATTCTTTCATCCCTTCTTATGGAGAATGACGGTGCCCTAGCAAACCTCTCTACATTGTACAATGAGCGTACGAAACTTTTTAAGGACAAGTAAAATGGAAGGAGACGATACAAGGTTTTTTTTTGATGATTTGCAAGCAAGCGATTTTAAGCACTTTCACAGATGTGATGATGATGGAGCAATAACCTCCCTTTTTTCGCTCACAAAGAAAGTATTCGGCTTGCTTGCCGATAACATCATGTCGTGCTTATGGATTGCACATACAAAACAAACAAGTACCGACTTCCCTCACTTCACGTTGTTGATATGACAAGCTTCACTAGCCAATTTTCGGTTGACTTCTGCTTTCTTAAAGAAGAGAAGCAAAACGATTACATGTGGGCATTTTCAAAACTTACAGTCATCCAGACACCAGAGACACGCCCAGCCGTAATTGTGACAGACCGTGAACTGTCGCTTATGGAAGCTTTTAAAAAATATTCCCATCTTCATCACACATGCTGTGCACATGGCACATCAACAAAAACATCATGTTTAAAATTTAAGATTTTTACGGAAGGGTGTGAATTAATGGAAAATGGGTGTTAATTTAGCAATTCCCTTAGCTTAATGGTTAAATTTATCTTTATTATGCTATACATAGAAAGCCAGAGGTGCGGAGATTAAAGAGCTTCCATTAAATGAATTTAGTTCCCATTCTGTCATCCTTTACACTAGCTTTGCATGACTCGTAAAGTGCAGCTGACCACACCACATTCATTTGTTATCGTCCTTTGGTTCAAATGCCGACAATCGTACAGGCAGTGCGCGCGCTGACCTGGAGCATACTGTACAAGGCGACATTCACGTTTACACTAGAACTACCGACCCGCAGTGTAACGGGGTAGCCCATTACATGAAATTGACACTAAACGGTGTCAATAGGAATATTGTCTAGCATGACAATATTCTACCAAAATTATCCGGGATGGATAATATTGAGGGAATATTATCCGTTTTAGAAAATGCTCATGCGCTGCTCCAAGATTGGTTGATAAAAGACATGTGATCCATAGATTACCACCAATCGCTGCTAGACGCGCGCAATGAGTGGTGAGCAGGTAGTCGTCATACGACGTCGTTTAATATCGTTAGATAAAGATTAACGTTATATTGCTAGCTTAACTATATTAAATACAGTTCTCTATTTACCTTACTTAAACGAGTCGTTCTAGTAAATAAGCTTCCTCTGCACGTACTATTGTACGTGAAGTTTTGCAGCACCCCAAACAACGGTGCCCCGTTACATTTGGTTGCACTTTGGAGTCCGTCCAACGACTACTTAGTGTCCGTCCAACATGGATATGTTGGACGTAAAAGACGACAGCTTTCACGTCACACGTGAAGGCTACTCCCATCTGAGTGACTTAGGATGGGAGGTAGTCGGGCGCATGAGTTTGCTCATGGGCGAACCCTACATCAGTGGTATGTTAAGGTCTCTGAGCAGAGACCAGCAACATGCTGCGATCATCAACTTCCTACAAGGGGAACTTGCCGTCGAAAGAAAGAAGATAGCCTTGCTACAACAGCAAGGCTCATATCAGTCGATGGGCTGGCCGACACACACGCATCGAACCGAACCCTTAAAGATAAACATCTCAAGGTGCAAGGGAACCGATGAAGATTCCCTTTTAACATGGTTCATCGAGTTAGACGACGCCGTCAGGGCCCGTCGCATCGAGGGTGACAAGATGGAAATCACCTATGCCCTGTCAAATTTGACAGGTGGGGTAAAGCCTTGGGCCTTAGGGCTCAAGCTTTAAGGTCCAAACCTGTTTAAGCCTTAGGGCTCAAGCTTTACGATCCAAACGTGTTTGAGTCGTTAGAGATCTTAAAGTTTCGGCTCAAAGAGACGTTTGAGCCGCCACAAGCCTAGTTCAGAGCACGCTCTGCACTCCTCAGGCTCAAACAAGGTAAGCGTGATGTGCATGCTTACGCACAACACCGCCGCTACCTTGCGAGTAGCATCACGGAAAACCCTGCTGATGAGCACACGCTCGTCAACGCGTTCATCTACAGCCTTGTAGATGGACCGGTGAAGACCAAAGTGTTCCGAGAGGACTTCCATACGCTGGAAAAGGCGATTGCGCATGCGGAACAAGAGGGCTTCAGCCTCAGACAGTCTCAGGCTAACTTATCAAACTATCGTCCGACGAGACGACAGGAAACTGGAGGTCCCGAACCAATGGACCTCTGTTATATCGAGAGCGAGAACTTTCGCTCTCTGAGTCACAAGCGATCGGCAAGATGCCATCACTGTCAGAAGATTGGACACTTCGCTCATGAGTTTAGTATCCCTAGCACCACATCACGTCCAAACACAAGACTTGATGACCATCGTTGTCCGAGGAAAGGTCCAAGGGAGAATCCAAACATGTCGCTAAGCCGCGACAGCAAGTCGGACCGCTCAAAACGGTCAGGGTCAGTAGGGGCGGAGCACCATGCTGATCCAGCAACGTCAAGAGAATTTGCAGGACTGTTGACGAAGATTGCGCCCAACACACAGTCGCTGTGTGTTACAACCCCTAGTGATGAGGTGTCACTCATCACTTTGAAGATCGAAGTGACAAGTGGAAGGTCACTTCGCGCCCTAGTTGACTGTGGTATGTAGAACAGTTTTATTCGACGTCAGTCACAAAGGGATTTGTGACTCAACCATGTTGAGCGAGAGTTCCCTTCAACGAGGATGACGGTGTGCCTTGCTACAGGCGCATCCGTAACAGTGAGCAAACGTGTAGTGGTAATCCACTACACGCTGGAAGGAAAGCAGTAAGATGATGAATTCATCGTACTAGATTTGGATGACAAATTTGATGTCATCCCCGGTCTGGCATGGCTTATTTTTTTCTAATCCATGGATCAGCTGGCAGCATCGATCCGTGAAGATGCCTTCCGTTTGTTTATCAGACGGCCATCTGATGAACG